TGAAGCAAAACACTCTTTGCATTATATACTTTGGGTTTGGGTAGATAAGTTAATCCCCCAGTTCAATAAGATGAGTCCATCGATCTCTAACCTAAGTAACATAAGCCTTGTCAGTGATGCCAAATCATTCTAACACTCTCTTAATTTCTGCACCTATCCCATAAATACTGATGGTTTAGAGACCTCTAGCCCTGGTGCATGTCACTGGCTCACATGATCTACAGTTCCTCATCTCTAACCCAGACTTAGGTCTTTCAATCAGCATTCTGAGGAGATTCTGGCTTCTAACTCCTCAGCCATCCTGATTATTCTTTAGAAATGCATCACTTAAAACATGGTACTTACAAAGAGGTTTGTAATCATCAGGTCATTGACTTCCCAGTCTTGTGATCCAAGCTCTGGTCATGCAGCCTGAGATTGGCATCCCTTTTCAGTAGCCATACATGGTTCATTTACACTAAACTTAAATCTGCAGCACTCTCAAGGCTGTTGAACAAGTTCTATCCCATCCTGCAGATCTTATAATACTTGAAATGCAAAGTTAAAGTCACTATATTTTGCTTCCTCAGATTTCATCTTATTGATAAGTCATCCATCAACTTTGTTAAGATCTTATATTGTTGTGCTCTGGCAGTTTTGGCAATCACTTTAAGCTTCATAAGATATTTGTACTAATAGTGTTATTTGTTTCCAGTGACAAACCATGCAAGGTGTAGAGTGTTGTCATTTTCATTTTCAGTTGAGTTTGTTGAGTCACAAATAGAAGGCCTTGCTCAAGATCCCTTAGTAAATAACCTGGAAAAATTCTTACACTTCAACAAGACAAGTTCTTCTGGCTCGTTCGAGTTGCTCTGATAACCTTGAAGCAAGCCTCTACGGTTACTTCCCTCAGTTGACTTCGATCTTTTGATCTCTCTCAAGTGCAGTTATTCAACTAGATATTAACAAAACTTTATGCAGCATCCACAGTAGGTAGCTGCCTTGGCCACCAAATTGTGGAGAGCCTTTTATCAGGTGCCTGGCTGAAACTTTGACATACTATGGTCTACCTAAGCCATTGAGATAGGAGAATCAATTTAGCTGGGCCATCATTTTCTTTATAAATACATCAGAATCCTATTCAAATGGTCTCTCATGATGTATTTATAAATAACCACAAATTATTTTTTAACCTTCCACTACCCTCAAAATGACTAAAGAGATGAAACTGATAACCTCTTAATAATTATACTTCCATAAATACTATTGAGGGATGCACCATAGTCCTCAGGGGCCCTGAGTGTAGTAAAAAACAACCGAAAATCTAGCACAATATATCCAGACAATGCATTTTGGTGAGTTGTCAGATGAATGAGTCACAAATAGTATAACAGGAAAATGACACAGACTAAATTACAGACTATTCCAGTACAAGCAAGAATAATTATTATAGTCAGATTTTTTTCTGCCTTAGTATAATGTGTACACATCCATTGAGACATAACGGAAAATACAGCCTTTGTTGTGTCTCACTGTCATTAATTTGAAAGATCCTCCAATCAGGCAAGAAACAGACATAAAAGTGTGCTCATCCTGTTGGGACATACCATGATAAGTGTGCACAGAAGATGCTACTAGAGAAATACTGTTTTGTCATTTTTGTTTTGCTTTTGTTTTTGTTTGCTTGCTCTGGCTCAAATAACCACGATGCTGCAAAATTTCCACAAAGTCATTTTTTTCCCGAGACTTCTGAACTTTTTCACATGCCTTGGTTGGGTTGTAAATATCTTTCTGTTGGCCAAAGCTAGCATAATACATTCTTAGAGCCTAGCAGACTAGGGAAGCATTCCATTCCCCAATCCATGGTGCCCAGCTTGTCAGCTTTTCTTAACCTAAATAAAGGAGTCCTTATCCAACTAGTATGTGGTTTGCTAACATAAGTAACCAGGTTTAAGAGAGTCATTGGAGCCACAACTAAATATTGTAGTTTCCATTTTTAAATATCTCTCTTTTCTTTAAAAGTCTATCCTTTTACAATAACAAATGCCTTCTCAAAAACTGCTTGCTGAAATGGCTTTTTCGCAGTGCCTTCTCAATATCAGCTTCTTTTCACTGACTTCCTGAAATGTGATATGAAAAACCACTAAGCTCAACCTTCATCTGTCATAATGCCACATATATAAATAGCTGTCGATTGTAGATTATTTCAGTATCCATCACAGGGCGTGAGCAAGTAGAAAGTACCACAAAGGAAGTCTCCTTGGAGTGATCAGTGTGGAATCTTGCCTATTTTTCCAAGTATAATTATAGTTTTTCCAAGTCTCTCATCAAAGCTTTGTACAGTATTTTTAAAGATCAAAGCTAAATTTCCAAATGTGATGTCAAAGCTATGAAATTCTTATTAGTACCTTGGATTTTTACATTCTTCAAGTTTGTCACTTATTACAATCTGTAAAAAAAAAAATCTAGATTTTTGAAGGAATATGCAAAATGGGAATATGCTAATGGTTTGTCTACCTGTTTGCTTTTTTATGGAAAAAGAATATATTACAAGATTTAGGAGTGTTAGGATTGATGAGCAACTGAACAAACTTTGACAAATAACAAACAATGAAGGACCATTAAGTGCATTTCAGAATTTAATCACCTCAGTTAACCTGTGAGGCAGGGCCTTTGTTATTGATTGGTTGCTTGGTTGATTGAGTTAAAAGGTAGACAGAGAGACAGACTGGTAGAGAAATCTTCCATCTGCTGGTTTACTCGCTAAACAGCCACACAAACAGGACTGCTCCAGACCAAATCCTGAAGCCCAGAGCTCAACCCAGCTCTTCTTCCTAAGTGCCAGGGACTTGAGCGTTTGAGCCATCACTTGCATTCTCCCAGGGTGTATGTTAGCTGCAAGTTTGATCAAAAGTGGAGGCCGGACTCAGGCCAAGCACTTGGATATGGATGCAGGCATGCCACACTGTATCTTAATGGCTGCATCAAACTCCTGCCCTAGGTAGGGCCAATTTTTAATCTCATTTTTTAAAGATTTATTTTATATTTTTATTTTAAAGGCAGAGTTACAGAGAGAAAAAAGTCAGAGCCAATTCACTCTCTAAATGACTCCAACAGCCAGAGCTGAACCAGTCTAAAGCTGGGAATCAGGAGCTTCTTCCAGGTTTCCCACATGGGTGTTGGGGCCTAATGACATGAACTGACTTCCCAAGGAATAGGCAGGGACCTGGCTCAGAAATGGAACATGCAGGATATGAACCAGGGTGCATATGGGATGCCAATACCGTAGGCAGAGGATTAATCTACTATGCCGTGGTGTGTCCCTTTAATCTCAGTTTATAAGTTAGAGAAACTCATAACTTTTGTCTAATCACATAACTCTTAATTTGTACCGCTAGCACTCAGACCAGGTCTTAGAACCAGTTGCTAAAGTAAAATAAAATAAATTCACTTAACAAAAAAATATTAAGCAAATAGAACAGACTTGGCACTAAGGAGATATAAATAATATCAACAGAGATAAGAGCTCTGCTTGAGATGAGTTTCCTTGTAATAGCTTGGAAGTTCTATGCAACCTGCATTGTGGTTCAGCAAGTTAAGCTACTGCTTGCAACACCATTATTCCATTTCAGAACAGCAGTTCAGGAAATATAGGTTGTCCCTAGCTTCTCCATTTCCAGTACAGCTTCCTGCAAATATCCCTGTGAAGGCAACGGAACAGACCCAAATATTGGTCCACTACCACATAAGGGGGAGATTAGTAAGCAGTTCTTGGCTCCCAGTTTCTTAGTGGCCCATACTTGGCTGTTGTAGCCATTTGGAAAATGAACCAGTGGAGGAAAAAATCTCTTCTTACTTCACTCCACCCCGTCCCATTCCTTCCTCTGTCTCCCAATATTTCTGTTGCTCTTTCAAATAAATAAGTGAATAAACAAATTTTAGAATTGAGCCTCTCTAGCAAAGGTTTCCAATATGGGACTACTGACATACCCACAGTTCATATCCAACATTTGGAATGTTCTGCGAAAAGCTGTCTAGACTGGGGATATGCTAGAGTAAAGAATTATAGCCAGATTTTGCTGTAAAGGATCCAGAAAGAGGTGGCCAGGGCTTAGGCTAACAACACTACAGTAAAGGAAACAGATTTGAAAAGCATTTTACAGTTGCGTCTTGGTGACATGGATGGTATGAATGTGGAAGAATCCAGCAGTTCAATCCAAAGGGAAATCATTGATCCTAGGTTGGAGTCTGGACTGGGTCCAAGAATGTGGGGAGATAATTGAGGCCATCTCTGTCAGGGATTGCAAACACCAACACAAGTGAAGTCCATGGAGGAGGTACAGAGTACATAATCTTAAAGCCATGGTGAGTGACCCCAGTGAGCTTGGAGGAGTCCATTTGACACAACAGGCTGGTCCAGCAGAGTAGCTGGTTGGCATGGCCTTCAAATTAGATCTGTAGATTGGCTTTTAAGTCTCTACTTCAAGGCATTCTACAATTTGCTGCTAATTAATACAATGCGAGATGAGGATGAGGGGGTTCAGCTGTGAGAGCTCTTGATGTTGAGATTCGGAAGAGGAGAGTTGTATATAATGGTCCCAGGGCACTGCAAAGAATTTTGCTGGAAAAGAATCAAGTGCTCTTTATTGCTGAGTTGCATTTCTTTGTATTAAGGAGGGCTGCAGGTGTTTTATTTGGAGACTATCTGACCAAATTGAAATTTCTCACTGCTTGTAATTGGTTAGGGAAATCTTCTTGGGGAGGAAAAAAAAAGTGGACTCACAGATCTTACAAAAATGGAAAGGAAGGACACTGGGCGAGTTGACAAGAGAGCCTCCCAGCATCCAAGGAGGACACAAATATGCAGGAGAGAGAGTGGTAGTCTCAGGTGCGAAGAAACCCAGGGGTCCTCTAGGAAGTGGGGAACAGACAGACAGGAAGAGCTCGCCTGTCCTCAGCTCTTCTAAAGTCCCATGGCCCCCACACCACCTGTCACGAGCATCCACCTTGATGTTTTACAGGGTGAAGACTCAGATGAGGAAGATCTCTGCATCAGCAACAAATGGACTTTCCAAAGAACCAGCCGCAGGTGGTCTCGCGTGGACGACCTCCACACCCTGTTCCCCGGAGGGGACAGAAATGGGTCACTGGGAGGCCAGAGGATGAGAAACACCACCAGCAGTGAGAGTGTCCTCACCGACCTGAGTGAGCCTGAAGTTTGCTCCATCCACAGCGAGAGCAGCGGAGGCAGCGAGGGCCGCAGCCAGTCAGGCCAGTGTGGGGCTGACAGCCCGGTCATGCTGGAAGCCACACTGGTCAGCAGCAACCTCCAACAGTTGCCCCAAGAGGTCCTCAGCCACCCTTTCCATGTCAGGAATGAGAAACCTAGCAGGGCCAGAGCCAAGTCATTCTTGAAACGCATGGAAACACTGCGCTCGAAGGGATCGCACGCAAGGCTTAAGGGGCCAGGACGGACAGGTGGCCTGGTCATCAGCGGGCCTGTACTACAACAGGAACCAGAGTCCTTTAAAGCCATGCAGTGCATCCAGATCCCAAATGGACATCTCCAAACTTCCCCCTCCACTGCCTGCCAAAGAGGACTTCCATGCTCTGCTAAATCAAGCGGCGACAGCAGCCCCTCAGAAAACAGCAGCAGTGGGGTGAGCACTCCCTGCCTGAAGGAGCGGAAATGCCACCATGAGGCCACCAAGCGTGGGGGCATGTACCTGGAGGACTTGGATGTGCTGGCGGGAACAGCACTGCAGGAGGCAGAGGACCAAAACCACAGCCATGGCTTTCACTCCCAAGAGAATTTGCTGGTGCATATCCCCAAGGATCACAAACCAGGAACGTTCCCCAAGGCACTGTCCATAGAGAGCCTCTCACCCACAGACAATAGCAATGGGGTTAACTGGAGGACTGGAAGCATCTCCCTGGGCAGGCAGCAGGACTCAGGGGCCAGAGAGCAGAGGCTCATGGCACCCTGCCACAGAGCAAGCCGAGTCAGTATTTATGACAATGTCCCTGGCTCCCATTTGTATGCAAGCACAGGGGACCTGCTGGACTTAGAGAAAGATGAACTCTTCCCTCACTTAGATGACATCCTGCAGCATGTCAGTGGGCTCCAGGAGGTGGTAGATGATTGGTCCAAGAATGTCTTGCCTGAACTGCAAACTCAGGATGCACTGGCTGGGGAGTCTGGCCTATTGCCCTTCCCCTCTCCTAATCAGATCACTTTGGACTTTGAAGGCAACTCAGTCTCAGAGGGCCGGACAACACCCAGTGATGTAGAGAGAGATGGTGCATCTCTGAATGACACTGAGGTCCCTGGGGTCAGAGAAAGGAGGGACTCTGGTGTGGGAGCCTCTCTGACCAGACCAAACAGGTGGGTTAGCATGCTTTTATGAAGTGCATGGTCAGCCGTTTCATAGCAATCATGTTTTGTTTTATTCCTCTACTAGGCATTGATAAAGTCTGGGCTATAGGTTTAATGCTGCTCTAAGTGGTTTGTGTGTTTAAGAATTATTTAACAGAAATATGCATTTTGTACTGGTATCATGTTAATTGAACCCTTGTGAATTTACATTCATCTCCTTAATGTTTATTTTTATGTTACCTTTTTAAAAAAGATGTATTTATTTGTGCTTGAAAGAGTCGCAGAACAAAAGAGAGGAAGAGACAGAGAATCTTCCATCTACTGGTTCACTCCTCAAAAGATCACAAAAACCAGAGTTGGGAACCAGGAGCTTCCAGGTCTCCCACATGGGTGCAGGGGCTCAAGAACTTGAGCCATCCTCCTCTGCTTTTCTAAGCCACAAGGAGGGAGTTGTATCAGAAGTGGGGCAGTCAGGACTCAAACCAGAACCCAGATGAAATGCTAGCACTGCAAGAGGACAGTTAGCCTGGTCAGCCACCATGCTGGGCAACCTTAGTTTAATTTAAAAAAAAGTTTGAGCCTCTTAACATATAAAGCACAACATGAGACACAGTATCTCTGGAGAACCTTGCATAGTGGAAGCCCAGTTCGTGCACTCATGGCTCTCTGTACATCCTTGCAACAGTATGAATTTCATTGTCTTATCCCCACTGTTAAGCTTTTTCTCATCCCATGAAAAAGTCCTGAGATCTAAAGTGTGTACTTTGTAGGTTTGGTTTTGCTTTAGAATGTCAGTAGAAAAAGACATAAATTATCTGTGAGAAGGCCTCACTGGTAGAGGCAGCACCACTCTTGTGGGCTGCTGGGGTCTGGGTGAGGCAGTGATGTTTGCTGGGGCTCACTGATGGGTCAGTGCCTTCTGGCTGCCTACATTGCACCTGTCATCATCATCATAACCCATCTCCGTAATAACAAGGCTTGGAGCTGGGAGGCATGGAAGTCAATGTGAAAAACATCTGGGTCCCCAAACATGCAAGAGCTCTCCATCTCTCTCTCTCTCTCTCTCTCTTTCTCTCTCTCTTTCTCTCTCTCTCACACACACACACTTTCTCTCTGTCTTGCCCCCTCTGTCCCTCTTTCACTTTGTGTTTTGCCGCCACTATTACCACCCACTTATTCCCTCACACACGTAACTCTCGACAGTTTGGAAATTAATTTGGAAATAAACAAATAAGAAGAATTTATTATCTCCCTTATTTAAACCTCTTAATGAAACAAGCAGAAAATACGACCTTTTCTATATTTCTTCAGCTTGGAAAAAAAATCCCTTCCTCTGTTTATTCTGCACTTTTGTGTCTGCAGTTCCTTTTGCTTTATGATTTTCTTGGCTCAGAAATGATCTTGATTAACTACTTATATACGGGTGAGATCTTGTGCTTTTCAAATAACAAGTCCACATGGTGACCAGCTTATCTGATGGTCTCTCTGGTCAAGGCGACTCCGATGGAACAGCTTCCAGCTCTCACACCAGCCCCAGCCCTCACCGGCATCGCCCCACATAAGCAACCAGACGGCTGGCCAGCTGAACCTGCTCCAGCGCTTCTCCCTGCTTCGCCTCACGGCCATCATGGAGAAGCACTCCATGTCCAACAAGCACGGCTGGACATGGTGCGTAGCACGTTCCAGAGAGGGGATCGTTTATCCTAGAGCTAAGTATGTGATGGCAAAAGCTTCAGTATTTCCTTTCTGCTTTCTGAAGAATCCATGCACTGCCTGCACTGACTAACTCCTGGGAATAAGGCGCCAAGCTCTGCCTTTCTGGGCAGCTGCAGCCTGGATGTGATACAGCCCACAGGAAGCCTTGCGTTATTTGTAGCTCTCAGTTGGTTTCCAGGGAAGGCAGTCAGTTTCTGGGAAAAGACAAAAAGACAAGTAAAGGATGATAAATTGTGAAGAGAGGAATTAAAAGCAAACTTGCCGTAAAATAATTCTGGCTGTTTGCAAAGAAACACGTTAGCACGTGTCACTTATGTTTTCTGGCTTGATGTGGAGTTCACCCCTTAAAGCACTGATTCCTTCAAAGGGTAATTAATTCCTCGCATGCATTTCTGCCTATATTTCATTAGCAGAAAAAGAAAAGAAGAATGTTTTATTACTAACAATCAGCAAAGACATGTTGGAACTGGAATGTAGCTCTATTACAAATGATTTGGTGGATTTGAAAATATAAAATGTTTCAATAAGTTTTGGTGTTATATATCATGTGTATAGAACAACTGATATAGTTACATAAGAGTATTTCATAAGTTTCAACGTTGCATGATCAAATCAATATATGCTGTGTATTAAAATTCCCTTTTAAAAATATGAGACTAAGAAACCAAAAACATAGACAAGGAATGTGGTTCCTCTTCCATTTCTCCTTTTAATCTCCTAACTCCAATGAGATTCCTTGCTTCTCTTTCAATTTTAAGTTGTGTTTTGGTTGTTTTGTTGGGATTTTGAAGTATTCAACTCTTGAGAGGTCAGTCACAGTTAAATTGAAACGTTGTCCACAGGTCTTGAAAGCAGAGCTACAAAGCTACAAATGCAACCTGCTAACATGACTGTACTGGTTAGTAGAAATAACTTGTACTCAAAGGTCCCATGTAGTACTGCCGTGTCTGGTGATGAGCTTACAGAGAATGCTGAATTCCTCCTGTGCCTGTTGGACATTCCAACAATTGCTTGGCTTCCTTCTCACTTACTTCCACAACCTCTTCCCACAGTGCACCCCAGGGGGCTTGCATGACCTGCTTTCTGTGAATTCTAGGTCAGTTCCAAAGTTCATGAAGAGGATGAAAGTTCCTGATTACAAAGACAGGGCTGTTTTTGGCGTTCCTCTCATAGTCCACGTCCAGAGGACAGGACAGCCCCTGCCCCAGAGTATCCAGCAAGCACTAAGATACCTGCGCAGCAACTGCCTGGACCAGGTAGGCTTTAACCCCCAGACAGGGGTTAGAACTAATGGCATTAGATTGGACTGGGCGATGCATGCCTCACCAAAGGTGAAAAGCACTGTGATCTTCTGATGTCCAATTTAATTTGACCAGGCTGCAACCTCCTGGAATGATTTAAGCTCTTTTCCTCTCTGGCAACCTGATTGCCCACCTGGAGTGACCAACAGAAAGTTAATGTTCATGATTTGTCCCTGTGATGTCTAATTTGCATACCCTAAAACCCGGAAGTGAAGTTATGGATCACATTTCCTGTTTATTATTGTCTCAAATGCAGCCATTGATTTCAAAACAATCTTTTATGCTTGTTATATTACTTTTGTGAAAAAAAAAAGATTTGAATTTTATGTCTCCCTGTATGAATTAATGTTTTAAAGTAGTCTAATGACCATGAAAACTTAAGGCAAAATTTCTTTTTAAAATGTGTAAATACAATAGCAAAACTGTATCATCTAAAGAAAGTATCCCCTGGTCATTAGAGCTGACTAAAAAGCTTATTAAACAAAACATTCAGAGATTATTTTCTGCCTCCAGGACTGTGTGGGGTTCAATATACTCATAGGCTATGATGAGTCTGGAGTACGACCCATCCTAAAATTTACCAAGCAAAGCCATTGTCTCTCAGATATTCTATACCAAAGAAAAGCAGTGTTGTTGTTTGATAAATTGCACCTGTGAAGTGGAGTAGAGAGGTTTTACACTGTGTTTTTTCAATCACCCTCCTCGATGTCATATGGAAAATCTATATCAATCAAAGATTATTTTTACTTTCTACCATTGGTCTTAACTCAGCAAATAGAATTGAGCTAAACCACATGAATTAGAAAATCTTGGCCACTGTTGCCTATGGAGATGCCAACATTGAGGCTTCCCTAAAAATCAAGGCAATCTCTTGATAATGCAGATATCAACATTCAGTGATATCCAAGTTAGTTAATGTAAGATAGGATGTTTCCATATGCAAGTGTCATAGTGAAGTGGCTACCATTATTATTGTTGTAAGGGTGACTGTTTCAGCTGAGAAATGATTCTTATAGCTCATTTCCTATTTCTCAAAAACAAGGGAAACCCATACTGCTTTAAAACTAGCTGCTCATCTTTTTCTGATACCCCATGTTGATGGACTTGGGAATGACACCCCATTGGAACAAATCAGTGAATCTGGTTACTTAACCACACATTTTCCATTCTTTCTCTCTCTTTCTTTACTTTTTGGAGGATTTTCCAAGAACTCAAATTAATCAAACTTAATGTTCTATGAGTGTTTAGTTGAGGAAAAAATCAGATAGACTACGTGAATATGTGGAAATACCTACTGTAATCTCTTTTCCAGTGCTACAAGTATAGCAATCAGGTCCCCTGACATAAGACTTCATGGCCACAACTATGCTATTGCTGGTTTGTTAGTACAGAATGAACAGTGTGTTTTGTGGAAAGCAGCCTTGATTCAAACACATTTTTTCCCAGGCATCTTCATTTTCGTAGGAGTATGTATGTATCAGAGTCTTTGGCTCTAGCCAACCAAGCACAGGAAATATTTTATTCCAAAAGCACGGCCAACTAATGCTTATCAGCAAAAGCTCCATTAAGAGAAAACAGTGTTTGTTCAGGAATGCTTAAGGGAAATGCAGTCAACTGTGCCATTAATTTAGTAACAATAATGTTCCTTGAGTGCTCAGTATTTTTTAGGCAGTTGTACTAAGCGTTTTACGTTCATTGCCTCATTTAATCCCAAATCCACCCTGGGCGATGTCATCCCCAGGTCTCAATCCTGGAGCTAATGCTTGCTTATGTATCTGTATAATTTCTTGGCCCATATTTGTAACCGTGCATTCCAGTATCACTTGGTAGAACTGCTTGTCCCCAGTAAACTTTGAAGTCAGGCCCTCTCTACCACAGAGACACGTTAAGAAGTGCCTCTACACAAACCACTAATGTCCACTGTCGGGATCTTGTCGATGGTGTTGTTCAATATGTCACATAGTATGTTTTCCATGAGAAAGGAAAAGACTCACTTTTTACTCTAACTAGCTCTAGTACCTGAAAACATTGTTTCTTCTGGACATCACTGTGTTTTGGATTTGTTTTTGCTTTATATTATAGAGAGCAGACCCAATCAGCTGAGTGTGTTTTACTCTTGTATTGGCCACTATAAAGCTTGGAGCTTGGAGTTTTCGGTATATTGTATCGTAGTTAACTTATTAAAAAGTTCATGGAATTAAGAAATGCTTACTTTGATGCAAAAAGAAAAAAAAATGAGATCCATGCATTCAAGGCATCACCAAAAAGTTCATGAGAAATATGTGTTTTTAAAAAGTTATGTATGGATTTTAAATTTTTCTGTGCCAAAATAAACTTTTTATTTCATTTCCATGAACTTTTTGAAGTATTTTCTCATGTAATTTTTCAGTGTGTGTCTTCCACATAAACCTCAGCCCTAGTTTCAGCTCACCTTTTATATTGTCTTCTTTTTGCTGTAATTTTCATAGGAATCATTCCTGACTTAATTGTATTTTGCAGTTCATTGTTAAGATACTTTAGATCCTTTCTTGAATAAAATTGGGTATTAAAAACAAATTGCCATTCCTCTAGCTCACTCACTCCCAAGTCTCTAGAGTGGAAAGGAAAGCACACCTGCCTTCTGTAGATTCTGAATGAGATGCTTTTACTGCAATCCTTGGATCTAGAAGCAAAAGTCTTAGATGTAATTAGAATAGAGTTAGCATCTTAACCTTCTCAATTCTTGCTCACAGAAATATTCCCAGTATCCACTTCTCCTCCCCCGGTTTCTATTTCCTGCAATCTAGTAGACTATCATCATGAAAAGGCAATGTGTTGCCCCAGCTTTGTAGAATAAAAGATTTATTTCAAGGATATCAATACTGATTCTAAATGCCACCAAAGTGAATGAGGAACACTTGTGTGAGAGATGTATGAGGACGTGGGGTTCACAGGGGAAAGCTAGGCGCACAGAAAGAAGAATCTCAGAGCGTGTGGCTCACCAAGACTCTCTGAGAGGTTTGTAGGACTCAAAACAAATGAGTCAGGAAAGAAGTGAATGCATGACTGAAAGGATTGAGAAAAAACACAGGATAGATGCCTTTTCTTCACTGACTGCAGCTCCATGGGGATGACAAAGATTCATGTCTACACAGGGCCTTACGATCTCAGCCCTAAGTCCTAGAGAACCTCATTCTCTGCGGCTAGCTTTCCTGTAAGCCATTCTTGACTGGGAACCACCATCAAGACGTCGGCCTTGATCTCTGGAAAGAGGACATCTACAATGGGCTGTATCCCTTCTGCTGCTGAGTGCTCATCTCAAAGCCATCACCATGCACAGTTGAGCCCAGCTACACCAGGTCTGGAGCCATAGTCTGCATCTCACCTGCTGGGCTCCCTGCTGCTGAGCAGCTTCCATACAGTGAGACACATTACATTCATTTCCACCCTTGCAGCTGGCTGTTGATGAAATGAGGACGTTTAGCCTTCAATTGTGAACCATTTGTATTCAGACTTAGTAGTGTGTGAGAAGAGCCCCACTTTGTCATCTAAGCTTTTTATTTTTGCCCTGAATCAACTGTGCGAAGAAGGATGGGTTAAGCCAGGCTCCTGATGACTATGAGAGTCACTGCAGAGAGAGGCGAAACCTGCAGCACTCCAAAGCAGAATCCACTGCACACTCTGCTTATGAATCTTTCTCAGTACAACCAACCTTTCTTCATTAGCTGTGCACATCTCTAAAGAAGAGGAAATGGAAATCCTGATAAACATCATTAAGCCCTGAAAGGATTAGCATAAACAGGATGCCACTGAGGAGATTTAATATTATTTAGATGAAATTTGAATTCTAATGCAGCACTCATGCCCAAACGCTCCTTCTAATGGAGCAGTAAGTTTTAAAAGCCTGATTAGGCTGGGAAGATACTTCATACTCAGTACCCAAGATCCTGTACCCTATTCCCTGCTAACCACTGTGTCCAGAACCTACCCCAGATTAAATGAGAGGCGCCTTGGCCCCGATGTTTCAAATTCTATCTGGAGTCTTCACTTTCCCCTAGCTGGATTTTCAGGGAAAATGCAAAAGAGACAGGAAAGGAAAAGTAGGTCAGAAGAGTCTTCTCCTGTCTTAGTTTTGTCTTTATAAGGAGAAAGAGAGATCACACACAAGAGAAATGCTTGCAAAACAAATGCTGCAGAGCATGTCCCAGCGTCCCCTTTTAGAGAGGGCATTTGAGCTCCGGTTTCAAGGAAGCTGAAAGAGACTAGTTACACAGTGTGTAGGTCACCCAAAGAAAATGCATTAATACAGAGTGGGGTTGCTTGTTCATGAATTATTGGAATTGGCCAAAATAGTGAACAAGTGTAGGTCACTGACTATGTGACTGCCCAGGTTGCCCACAACTAGTGACAAACACAGAGGAAAATAAATAACATTCGCCTTCCGTTAGTCTTCCTCACAACAAAGCTAGATTCACTCTCTATCAACAGCTGTGAGCAGGATGTCCTCGGAAGCCATGTTTGACTTGGAAAGAACTTTCATTGGAAATGCAAATTTTACCCTTTCTTTGAAAGTTGTTTTGAAGAAGAAATAATCTTTGCAAGTCACTTGGGCCATTACCTACCTACACATTCTCCTCTGGTCACAGTACTTTGCACCATAGAAAGGTTCTGTTTACTGAGTCCGGGTGCTGCCCACCACATGTAACAGACCCTCTGTCTGCAGTGGCTCATAAATGGGAAGTTCATGATCTGATGCAACACAAACAAAATCGTCAGGAAAGAGGTTGGTTCTGGAGTAGTTCATTTAACAACTCATCCAAGAAGAAAGGCTTCCTGCATGGTTGCTTCCTTGTCTCGGCAGCTGCTCCATCTGCACAAGACAATCTTTCTTTTATTTGCTTTTGAAAAGAAATGTTCTTCAGTGCTTCCAACAAAAATCCACAGAACCCAGCGATGTTTCCTTTCCCAACTCTTCTGGAAGACCAGGGCAGGGCAGGAAGGTTATTGTCAGACATGGAGGAGGAGCAAATCAATCCCTGGAGACCCTGTGGACATCCTGGGAGCACAAAGTCAGAAAAAGTTGCCCAGAGGCGCATCTGGAGCACTCCAGACATGTGTAAAATAATTTAAATAACAATATTCACTGAAAGGAAAGAGAAACTTGAAAACTGAAAATATCCAGAAAACATGACCTGAATGTGTCTGACACAGAGACAGACCCTGGGAGTGCAGATGACAAAAGAAGGATGTATGCCACAATTTAAACACAAACACTCATCTGCTTTCTTCTTTTAATAGATTCCAATCAATATTTCTCTGCAGTTAAAAAACAATAGGAGTTCTTCTCAAGTGGAATAATACCGACTCACATGAGGATAAGTGTTTGTGAGTCATGTTGAAGAATTCACCTTCGGGGCAATTAGATTCTGGCCTATGATGTGTGCAAACCTGGGCCTCCTTCCAAAATTGAAAAGGGGATACAAGCAAATTGAAGATGCATTCTCTTCAGTAATCGCCCATTGACAGCTTGAATATTTCTTTGGCAATGCATGCTTTCTTCTCACTCACTGTAAAGAAATTTGGAGGACTTGCAAAATGAAAGAAGATAAATGTTAGATTCTTCATGTGTAGTCATCTAAGTATAGGAAGTGCTCATAACTTTAAGAACGCCAAAGGAAGCAATTGGTGTTCGAGGGGATATGTGCCTTCATACCCTGATCTGCAGGGATAGGGTGATAAGCCCTAGAATACGAACACGTAGTACTAAGGTTTCTCGTTTTATGGCCACAAAACAAAAATAACAGCACCTAATTTCCCCTCTGATGCATTCAGCAGACATACACAAAAACTGAGTCTTCTCTGATGGCTTGGAATTCTTCCCTTGCTGTTCTTGCAGTTTAAAAGGGCTAGGACTGCTTTCCATTCTACAGCAACAGAAATCAAGAGAGCCTTTGTCAGACACCTGAACTTGGGTCAAGGTCTGTCTGGCACACTGAGCAGGTAGGGAAATGACCTACACTGGTGCCCATCTGCAAACACTGAGTGTCATTGCCTACCTGTCCAACCACTCAGGAATGTTCTCACCTTGCTGTCTCCACCCAAGTGTCCTAACCTATGAGCCACTGTGGCGTGAGGTGGATCCACTGCTAAGCAACACAGTACCCCTCAGGCATTTTAAAAGAGCAAGCATGTTATTTATTTCACCCTAAACCAGAATTCCCAGGAAAGCTGAGTTGTTTTTTTTCCTAATGGAGTCAGAGCTCACACCTTAGCCTACCCTAACCATTACAGTTTCCTAGTTCTCACCATGAGACCTCTGCTAACATCACTCATGCCTTGTAGAGCCGTAATCTCCTTAGCATCTTCTTGCTCTATGTATCTGTCAGAAAAGGAGTTTAAGTCCCTGAGATGAAAAACTCATGCTACAACATTGTCTTGAAGCCTGGAAAAGAAAAAGTCATCCAAGAATCATTTTCACTAGAGCAAAAGACACATAATAACTATCCAGAGTAGTGTCAGGTGTAATGAGAAAGGTAGGAATAGACAGAGGCAGAAAATCTAGCATCATATTCTTGATGCCTCTTTAACTTATTTTCTGCCATTGTCTATTATCTGCAATGCCACGGTGCACACAAGTAGCAGAACATTGGACTTGTAATTATTGCTGGAGGATTATACTGCTTTAATAATATGGAGGGAAGGAGGGGAGAAGAAATGGTAGGAGGGCAAGGGAGGGAGGGAGTGGAAAAAGGGGGGAATACCCGGACCTACAGAACTGTATCAGCATTAGTGTGCAGAAGAGGTACTAAAGATTCTGAAGAAGGAAAAGCAAATAAGACCTTTAAAATCAAAATACATGTCTGTTATGATTTTGTTTCATGAGCATGTTCTCCATAGAATCTTCCCCAAGGAGACATTGGAAATAGTTGCTTTCCTAGGATCTTCCCATCTCCCATCACAATATTTTGACCCAACCTTCCATTAGCTCCAAGAAATAGTGAACACTACAGGGTACAAAATTTTGTCTGACTGTTCACTGGCACTCCCAGGAACTCAGTGTTCTTGATCCGTAGTGAATATTTTATCACTATTTCTTAAAGGCATTGCATCATAAGATCTGTAATAGTGTAGACTCTACAAGCTACAAAGCACATCCTCACATATTTCTTTTCTCATTTAGTCCCCATAGCAGCCCTGTGAAGTGGAACATTATTCTTATCTTTAATTTATAGAAGAGGAAGTGGGTGTTCTGTTATGATTTAAAATAACGACACCAGTAATTCAGAATGTACTAGTTGTTATGCAATTCTGGCCCCGTTAGTGCTGACCTCAGGTCTTCTCACACCCATCCGGGTGTTGCCCTGAGGAATAAAGTGTCGTTGGGGAAGGGTATCCTGACTAACATGCCCCTGTGGCTTGTTTTAGGTGGGTCTTTTTCGCAAATCCGGAGTAAAGTCTCGAATCCATGCCCTGCGACAAATGAACGAGAATTTCCCTGGACACGTCAACTATGAAGACCAGTCTGCGTATGATGTGGCGGATATGGTGAAACAGTTCTTCCGGGACCTCCCAGAGCCCCTTTTCACCAACAAGCTCAGTGAGACCTTCCTCCACATTTACCAATGTAAGTGGAAGTAACACGGATCAGCATTCCCAGGAGAGTTCACGGGTTAAACAAGTGCCTTGCTAAGTAATTCCTGAATTCATTACAAAGTCTACTTAACTTACAATCTTATTCTCCAGATGTAATCTCTTGTCACAGTTTAGTATGAGAATCTTCGGGCCAATAGATTTGCCTTTGAAAATGATCTTTTAGCATCCACATATTGCAGTAGGATTTTGTGTAAGATTTCAACCTAACTTGCAATATGCTTTCAATAAATTTAAAATGTAAAGGACATATAATAAAATTTACTTTTACACACAAGTATTTGTTAAAAATTCCTGTGATTTTTTTTAAAAAGTATGCATTTCTTTAAGGTATAGGAAAATCAAAACCAAGCATTAAAAAAGATTAGAGATAAAGAGCAAATATATGGGAGTCTGACAAAATGTTTTGGAAAAAAATGAAATGAAAAGATAAGTTTATTTTGGTACGAAGAAATTTGAGCCACAAAATTTTTGTAATAATCTACATTTTGCATGAACTTGTTGCAGATTCACATATTCCTTTAATTTTGTTTTATTTGAAAAGCACAGGGCCAAGAGCGGTAGCCCAGTGGCTCTTGTTCATGTCTTGGCTGCTCCAGTTTCCTTCCAGCTCCCTACTTGTGACCTGGGAAAACAGTGGAGGACAGCCCATGGCCTTGGGACCCTGCACCTGCATGAGAGACCCGGAAGAAGCTCCTGGTTCCTAGCTTCGGGTCAGCTCAGTTACAGCTGTTGTGGCCACTTAGGGAGTTAGCTAGTGGACAGAATCTTTTTCTCGTTGTCTCTCCTTCTCTATGTAAATCTGCCTTTCCAACAGAAATAAACAGATCTGTATATTTTTAAAAAGTGTAGTCACAGAGAGAGATATTTTCCACATGCTGGTTCACTCCCTGTGTGCCCACAATAGCATGAGTAGGGCCGGCGAAATCCAGGAGCACATAATCCAGATCTCACACATAGGGGCAGGGCCCCAAATAGTATGTCATCGTTTACTGTCTCTCAGGATGTGCAGAAGCAGGAAGTTGGATCAGAAGCAGAACCAGGACTGAAACCCAGGGACTCAGAGATAATCTCTGTGGATATCCCAAGCAGGTTCATAAGCAATGTGCCAACTGGATCCCTTCTTTTTTAATTTGGTGAAAATTAAGCAAGCCAAATTAACAATTAAGGTTAATTCAACTGATTTATATTTCACGTACAAATTTTAAGTGATGTTACATCAATAGTTCTCAACAAACCCACATAACTAAAATAGCCCTTGAAAATAACAGTCTTTGATTTAAAGTCCAATCTTGATAAAGGCAGTTCCAATTGGAAATATTGGAAGTGAGCAAGCAACTCTTCCTTAGGTATGATTAAGATGATTAATTATTTTTGATGACCGAATCTCAAGTTTTCAGAGCAATGCAGTTTGCACATGGACTTTGAATCTGTGGTAAAACAAATGGGCCCTGACATGAAATAAATCCAACCCGGAGATCCCTGCCATGCAGCATTCTGCACTAAATGTGTTTGAGGACTGTATAATGTGGCAAGGTCGAAAAGGTTTATAATCAATACCACTTGTAAAAACAGAATAAAGTGGTGACCCTCTAAATAAATATTATTTTGTCGAAGCAATCAGGTTAAGTTAAATTAATGGTACTCATTGCTGGAACCGAAACACAAGCAGCTCGTGACGTGGTTGGTGTGAGAGGGAACTCTGTTTTTCAATTAAGCCTCCCTGTGGTTTGGAATGATCAAATTCTAGTCTTTACATCTAATCTATTCTTGAATAAAGGTTGACACTAGTCTAAGGCTAAAACCAGATTACTCCCAAGAGATAAATGCTGTTGCCGTTTCTGAGTCTCACAAGCAAAAAGCCAGATGAAAGTACGGCTTCGTTTTAGTTGAATAAACATTTATGAAATGTGACTTATGTGCTGGGCAACATGCTGAGCTGCAGAGCGTGGATGGCCGAGGTGGAGGGAGATGAGACGTGGGCACAGTGATGCATCCTGAACAAAAGGGACACATTGTGAGAAATGCTTTGTTTGGCGGTTTCAGTGCTAAGGGACCAAGTAGGAATGGATTTACACTAACCTAGATGGTGGAAGTCAGTCACTCATGGACTCTTCATGTAATAAACATGAGATATGTGAGACTTCTGTGGTGCATTGGGGCACTCTGTTTTACAGTCAATAAGTAATAGCACCCTCTAAACTACTCTATAAACCAATAACATAGCCATTTATAGTAATTCCATATAATGTACTATTCATAATTATGTTGCTACACTTTTGTCTTTGTAGATTTCTTTCCTGAGATTTTTATTTTATATATTTGAAATGCAGATTAACACACAGAGAGAGGGGAAGGCAGAGAGAAAGAGTGTGTGTGTGACCTTCTATTTGCTAGTTCATTCCCAAAGTGGCCACAGGGCTGAAGCAAACTGAAGCCAGGAGCTAGGAACTCCATCTGAGTATCTCGCATGGGTCACAGGAGTCCGAACGCTCAGGCCATCTTCTATTGCCTTCCCAAGTACATTAACAAGCGCTGAGTCAGAAGCAGAGCAACCAGGACTGCACTTTAATATGGAATCTGATCAGGCCACCAGTGGTGTCACACCGTGCCACAGCCCTTCCAGTGTACATTTGTACACTGGCAGCACAGTAGGTGTGTCTGAAAACCAGTATTGCCACAAACATGTGAGTTGTGTATTGCACTGTAGTGTCAAGACAGCTATAGCATCAGTGGGGGATAGGAAGTTCTCAATTCCATCACGGTATTGTGAGATCACTGTTATATCTGTGATCCACATTGACTGAAACCTTGTCATGCAGTGCATGGTGGTAAATGCATACAGATTGGAACAGTTCCATTGCAAAATTACAAAATACAAGAGTTTAAGATGAGGAAAGACAGCATGGAGGAAAACATGAGCGACCCCTGAGAATTGAGATGTGTGAGGGCCACATTGTGGGTGAAACATGTGATCAGAGCATGTGACAGCAGAGTATGGTAATTTTTTTCTGGCTTCCGTGTGCGGTAAATGGCTTCCAGTGTGATACCAGTTGACATGGAAAACTTTGTCTAAAGCCTTATAAGTTGAACGTTATGTAAAGGAATTTATCCCTGATTCATTAAGGAGTTGGAGAACCTGTAGATATGGAGGGACTGGCCAGTCAGGATGCTCTCAGATATAAAGATAGAACCCCAAATCCATCAATTAACCATTTATAGAATGAAGACATTTTATTATCCCAGAAGGCAAGAAATATGAAGTTAAATAATTTCAGAATTGAATAATTCTACAGTTGAGTGATGCCAGAGCTAAAGCCAGCTTTCTCCCCTGGCTTTCTCCTGGAGGTCACAGTATTAGTACCACCACTTATAATTAGCACAAAAGTACCTTCAAAGGCAGGAAGGAAGAGAAAGGGCTTCTCCTTGGGCACATGTATGTTTTTATCAGCAAGATAAAACTTGCAGAAGCTTCCCCTAACAATTATCTTAGTCTTATCTGCCAGATGATTTGTATCCTTTCCCCAAAAGGACATTTGCCAAGAGGAATAGGATTGCTATTTTTGGTTTAGGCCATAGGGCTCACCATCAAGTTGACAGGAGGTTCTCATTCCCGGAGTATGTTGCAGTGCACACCTTAACAAGATGCTGTGTTTTCTTAGTAAGGAAGGAAGAGAGAATGGGAAGTGAGTATGAGAACAAACTTAGGCCTGCCACAATGATGCAAGCCCATTGGACTGTAATCTGTAAATGGTATACGAGAGTAAGGAACTTGAAGACCATGGCAAGTTAGGGAACCAGCATAGTAATGGAGATCTGGGTTGCCTACAGTGACTTCCAGCAGTTAGAGTGAAGAGTAAGACATTCCATGGGTAAATATAGCACCAAAGTTCCCAAATCACTGGAGAGAGGGGAGCATTTCCTTCTCAGGGCCAAGAGCAACTCTGATTTCAGCTGCCGTGTCTTGAACTTCTATCAAATGACTAATGAGCATGGAATGTTGAAGGAGTTATTAAATTATTTGGGAATCCTGCTGATCTACATGAAGGAGAAAGCCAACCCTGAAGGCTTAGGGACTGAAAGAACATAGAAAGAGAACAGGAAAAAGTGGTTAGGAGGCCAGGAGGCAGGAAGAAGGATTCAGAATCGGCAGAATGACAAATGTGAGGTATCCACATGGTCCTGATTGTCAGCACTTGGAAATGCAGACCTAGATGCTGTTCGTGGGAACCTCATAAAGAGGAGGAACTCAGGAGTGTCAGCTGTAAGGTTGAAGAAAATTGGATTGAAACTGAATGTTGAATGCTTGACCTCAAATAGCACTATAAGAAAATAATGGGCAAAAGTACTTTCTGAGGAATATGGGAACACGAGTAGGAAAGAAATGGTTACAATGAATATAGATGATAGATGACCCTTCAAAGGAGAAGTGTTGGCATGGAAGAGAAGTTTAGCAATCTAAAATGGAACAGTGTAACAGAGTACTTCAAAACACACACGGAAGATTCAATTAAAAGGTAAATTTGTTTTGGTGTAAAAAGTGTGGAAATCTAGGCCTAATTGTTTCATATCATGCATTTCGCGTAAACATTTTCATGCACCTTTGTATTCACTCTGGGCATCTTGGCTATAACAGAATATCTAGAAGCAGTTAAATATCTCAAGCTGAAGTTGCAACATGGCTTACAAGCTTGAACTCATCAGTAGTAGCTGTTAATAGTTCAGCACAAGCTAGCAAAAAAAAAAAAAAATGGTTTTCTATAACTGCAACAAAATGACTCTTTTCCATTAACCCCAGGTATATCTTGTGCTGGTGTGCAATGGACACGCAGAGATGAGATGGGTTTCAGGTCGCAGAGGGAATAGACAGAAACATTTTCAGAAATTCAGATGTTCTGGCTGGCCAGGAGTGTGGCCAGCCCAGGCCACTCCTGCAGGGTGCTTAGAAGCAACAGAGGAGCCCAGCATTGAAACCCAAAACCTTTGCCTCTTCAGAACCTGGGCAAGAGATCATACTAAAGACTCAAGGTAGCAAGATCCATATATTTTTTTAAAGATTTGCTTATGAATCTGAAGCTGTGTGAGAGCAAGATCTTCCATCTGCTGATTTATTCCCCAAAACACAAATGTAGGGTTCAGCCAGGCTAAAGTCAGGAGCCTAGAGCTCCATTCAGATCTTCCACTTTGATATCATAGACCCAAGTACCCTGGGTCATCTTCAGCTGCATTCCCAGATACATTAGAAGACAACCAGGTCAGAAGTACAGCAGCCAGGACTTGAAACAGTGTCCATATTGGATGAAAAATGATGACTTCACCCTCTATGCCACAATGCCAGCTCTTCCATATTTTTCAAAACATTTACCTATCTATTTACCTACCTACCTACCTATCTATTTGAAAAATAGAGTGTCAGGGAGTTGTGGGGTGTGGGAAATAGGGAAACGTTTTCCATCTGCTGATTCTCTCCAAAATGGCCACAGCAGCCAGGGCAGGGCCAGGCTAAAGTCAGGAGCCCAGAATGCCATCCAAGTCCCTCATGTGGGTGACAGTGTCCCAAGTTCTTTAGCCACTTTCAACTTCCTTCCCAGGCACATTAGCAGGAAGCTGGGTCAAAAGTAGAGCAGCCCTGGGATGCCGGTATCTGAAGCAGCAGCTTAACCTGATGTCCTATAACACCAGGCCCATACCCCACATCTTTTATCATATATCCCTATGAGTAGTAATGATGTAAATGTGTGCATTTATGTGTGAATAATGTAAATATACTGTGATGCACTGTGATATACCATACGTATTATAACGCATGCCCAACCAGTATATTTAATGATGAGACAAAAATGTGCACAATTAGAGATCCTGTCTTCTTCCCAGACCTTAAGGGATTGTCATGAGCATACTCCCCCATCCCTTGGCAGTGCAGACAACCTCAGCAGAGACCCTGCTTTAGAGTGTGTTAACAGAAGGATGCTCTTGATTGTGTCTTATGAGGATAAGGGCACTGAATCAGATCTGAAAGCACTAAAGAAACACAGCCAGGGGGCAGCAAAATGCAGCACCTAAACACCCATTGTCTGAGGTTTTCGCTTGAATTGTTAGGACCAGTTCCCTTTTAAGCCTGCATAAGCAGAGCCCCTCATTGCCACCTCAAGGACAACCATCAAAAGGAATAGACTGCAAAGGGCAAAGTGGTAGTATGAGCAATCCCTTTTTACTAAGAATCCAGTTATGATTGTGGCCACAAATATGTTAAAGAGTAAGTGAATGCAACTTGCAGTATTAGGGAGCGTGAGTCCTCTTTGCCAACCACAACCTGTTTCCATAAACCCCACAGTTGCAAAAGGACTGACGTTGTTTCCTCACACAATGCCCTTGAGTGCATCCTCTTATCTAAGCCCCCAGAAACTTTGTAGGAAAGAATTACTAGGCTTATTTTCGAGGCAATGTGCTCTAGAAGTCCAGAGGCCAGCTAATTTGACTCCACCAGTGATGGTTAATTGTGCCAAGGTGGCCTGCTGTTCCAGTGGGAGTGGGTAAAGGCCACACTGTTGTCCGACTACTCAGGGGCTTTCAAATCATGCCGCACAAATTTCCTAGCATCATGAGAGGTGTTTCCCAACCAAGTTTTTTGTAGGAAGAGTGTGTAGGAGGAAAACCCAGTTCACCTAGCCTCAGCCTCTCACCAGTTTCAATAGAACAGAAAAAAAAAAATCTGAAAACAGATGATTGGATTGATTACTCAGAGTATGAAAAAGCAGATGGTGACATCACTTTCTTAGCATCACCAGGACATTAAGACAGTGGATTCTGGGCTTAAGTCAGGCCTGCCTCCTGCTGTGAGGCCTAAACATATTCCTAAGTTCTGTGTCTATGGATCTCACATCTGCATATTGCACTAACCACAGATCGAAACTATTTAAAAATTTTTTACATGGGCACTAGCATTATAGGAATTTTATTTTTGTGTCATTGTTTCTTAAACAATTCTGTTTAATGGCCATTGCATTGTGTTTATGTTGTATTGGGCATTATAAGTCATCCAGTCATGATTTAAAATGTATGCGTGGATATACATAGGTTCTCTACAAAGACTATACCATTTTACCTCTGGGACCTGTGCACTGAGTCTCAGAACTAAGAGTCCTAGAACCAAGCTCTCACCAGACCGAGGACTGACTTGCACAGGCCGTGAGCTTCTGTGGTTACTGATTATGATGGTGGCAGCACCCACATGTGTAAGTGTGCCTTTGTACCAGGCAGGTGGAGCTCACACACTCTTGCCCTGTGCCCCAGAAGGCTTTCTGCCTATATTTCTCTCATGACCTGGTACCCACTTTCTCTCAGATGTCCCCAAAGAGCAGCGGCTGCAGGCGGTGCAAGCCGCCATCCTGCTCCTGGCCGACGAGAACAGGGAAGTGCTGCAGACACTCCTGTGTTTCCTGAATGATGTTGTCAACTTGGTGGAAGAGAACCAGATGACGCCCATGAACCTGGCTGTGTGCCTAGCCCCCTCGCTCTTTCATCTTAACCTACTGAAGAAAGAAAGCTCTCCCAGGTGGGTTCCTCAGCCTCAGCCATCATCCCAAACCAGGGCCTCCCCAAAGCTTGCTAAAACAAAACAAAACAAAACAAAACAAAAGGTTTCTGGCACTGGACTGTAAGGGAGGGCTTGTTGGTTCTTTGTAATCAGAACCCCTTCCCAGATCACATTGTTCATGGGGCTTGGATTCATGAAGTGGTGTTGGAAAGGGTCAGTGGTGACCCAGAAAGCCTGAGAAGTTTTGCTTTATTTTGTTTTGTTTGTGAGTGGGAAGGAGGAGAGCACACAAACTAGTGTTTTCCAGTCTTTGAAAGAATGCTCTATTTAAGACCCAAACTCAGGGGTTTGCAATCAAATCGTTTCAAATTTTGGAAAAAATAGATTCATTTCTCCTCCCACACTGCTTCCTGTTCCCAGTGCGAGCTGGCCTCAGAGTATCTAAGAGGCTTCGTGGTTTTTGTTTGGAAGTGGGTTCTGCATCACATCTGGTCTGAAAGAAAACACAAGGGGGTGGACTGGGCTGTGCGAGGCTCTCTGCCTTGGGATCTGCTCAGCACACTCACGTTCAATTACAGAGTCATCCAGAAGAAATATGCCACCGGGAAGCCAGATCAAAAGGACCTCAATGAGAACCTGGCTGCCGCACAGGGCCTGGCCCACATGATCATGGAATGTGACAGACTTTTTGAGGTGAGCAAAAAGGTTCTAAAGCGCCTTCCTTGTAGCTCTTGGAACTAAATAAGACACATAGAATGTCGGCTCCATTTATGGTTAGATCTTTTGGTTCTTGATTTTAAAATGGCAATGTCATGTAAATTCTGGTCTTTGCCTCCAAGAAATATGAGAAGCTCTGGCTATGGACAATCAAAGTTTTAATAGCTAAGGAAACTTAGGGTTACCATGATGCTAGTTTTCATGCAAGCAGTAACCTTTGATTAGTTTCAATTCCTCTTTGTGTGTGGTGTGTGCGTGCATGTGCGTGTGTGTGTGTGTGTGTGTGTGAGAGAGAGAGAGACTGAGAAAACTCTATTTTACTAAGAATCAATGACAGTTTGTGAATAGAGCCACAGACATGTTAAAGAGTAAGAGGATGTAACTGCTGGCATACATTTTTTGTAGTAAAATTGACATTTGCCAATTGGAAAAGTGTGATAAAAAAATGTGTTTTTTTTTTTAAATCATTTTTTATGTTTCCCTTAGCAAGTCTAGCTGCTACAAGTCTATGGGGGATAAAATTGCTTGAACCCACACTTTGCCAAACTGAACAGAAATACATTAAAAAGAAAACAAGGGGAAAATGGAAAGAATGAATGGGAAGTTATTATAATGTTTTTGAATAGTGAAAATAGACTTAAAAATATGTTTGTATTGCCTGACATTAGGAAGGCCTCTCTTGACCTTGGCATTACCTTGCAAAACCAGCTCCAGCCCTATAGCCCTTGGCACACTGCTCAGACTTTGGTTGTCGGTGCAATGCTCTTGCTTTCTCAAACTGTTGCTCTTAGCATTTCTTTAGTTCTATGTTATTCTTTTTTGCATTTGTTGGTTCAGGTGCCACATGAGATGGTGGCCCAGTCTCGTAAATCCTATATGGAGGCAGAGATCAATGCACCAACCCTGGAAGACTTGGGCACGCAACTGGAGGAAAGTGGAGCAACGTTCCACACTTACCTGGAACACCTCGTCCATGGCCTCCAGAAAGAAGCCAAGGAGAAGTTCAAAGGCTGGGTCGCGTGCTCCAGCACTGATAACACAGATCTTGCCTTCAAGAAGGTGATCACCCTGTCTGCTTCTTTTGTTAAAGATTTATTTATTTTACTTGAAAGGGAGAATTGCTGGGAGAGACAGAGCGACCCCCCTCTGCAGGTTCACTCCCCAGATGACTGCTGTAACCAACGTTGGACCAGTCCAAAGCTGGAAACCAGGGAAGTTATTATAATGTTAGATCTCCAGGTTCTCCCATCCTCTGATGCTTTCTCAGGCCATTAGCAGAGAAGCCATTAGCCAGGACACAAACTGCTGCTTATATAGGATGTCAGTGCCCTGGGTGGAGGAGTAGCTTGCTATGCCATTGAACTGGCCCATTAAATAATTTTTTATGTTTATTTATTTTTATTGGAAAGGCAGGTTTACAGAGAGAAGGAGAGACAAAGATCTTCCATCTGCTGGTTCATTCTCAAAATGGCCACAATAGCTGGAACTGAGCCAATCCAAAACCAGGATCCAGGAGCTTCTTCCAGATCTCCCATATGGATGTAGGGTCCCAAGGCTTTGGGCCATCCTCCGCCTCTTTCACACGCCACTGGCAAAGAATTATATGGGAAGCAGAACAGCTGGGACACAAACCAGTGCCCATATGGTATCCTGGAATTTGCAAGGGGGGATTAACCAACTGAGACATTGCATGAGTCCCATAAACAAAATATTTTTATAACAGAGGGTTGAACATTTGTCTTAGTAGTTAAGATTTTCACATCCCATATTACAGTGCTTAGGTTCAACTCCATGCTCTGGCCACAGATTCTGGCTTTCTGTTAATATACAACTTAGGCTGCAGTAGATGATGGCTCAACTAATTAGGTTCCTGCCACTCTCCTGGAAGACCCAACTGAATTCTCACCTTCTCACCCAATCCCAATACCAGCCAACCAATGTTTGGTTGTTTGAGAAGCAAACCAATGAATGGGAGCTTTCTCTTCCTGTCAATTAAACAGAAATCAACATTTTTTTTTTTTAACAAAAAAGGCGATTCTCCAAAGGCCATATCTGACAGAGATTTGTTTTTGCTTCCCAAATAACTGCTCCATGCAAATGTACCATTCAAAGGCCCCAGCCAAAGACTCATCCACAGGTCTTTTACATAAAATCAGAAACAGATCATGTAGCCCAACTTCTGATCCTCTTCCTGTTTCTTCCGTTCGCTGTGTTCCGTAAGCCTCGCCCCTCTCCTTGTGCCATTTTGTCATTTGCAAAATGGACACTCTAGGAGCATCTCTTTCACGGGGAACTACCTAAAAATCAAATGGATTAGGACAGTCTCTGGCACATGATGTATTATGTCTGTGTTGGTATGTTATTTTTTTTACTTTTATTGTTATCTAAGCTTAAGGATTTAATGGGCTGATGTGACATCTCAATTGGCCAATCCTCCCCTTGCAAGTGCTGGCATCCCATGTGGATGCCAGTTCTTGTCCCATCGGCACCACTTATCCAGCTCCCTGCTTGTGGCATGGGAAAGTGGTGGAGGATGGCCCAAAGCCTTGAGATGCTGCACCTTCATGGGAGACCTGGAAGAAGCTCCTGGCTCCTGGTTTTGGATTGGCTCAGCTCTAGGAAATGAAGCAGGAGATGGAAGATTTCTCTGTATGTCTCTCTATATATAAATTTGTCTCTCAAATAAAAATAAATCTTTAAAAAAAGCTTAAATTGAAGTATGCAGCATCACTCTTTGAATTTGCATAATCGGTGTTGTGTCTGAACACCTTGGGAGTAGGATGGAATTTAGGTGGGTTCAGGTGACCTCCCGTGTGAGCATGTGGTGTGTCTTTCCCCAGGTCGGGGATGGCAACCCGCTGAGGTTATGGAAGGCCGCAGTGGAGGTGGAGGCGCCACCCTCGGTGGTGTTGCATCGTGTGCTAAGAGAACGACATCTGTGGGATGAGGACTTTGTGCAGTGGAAGGTGGTGGAGACCCTGGATAGGCAAACAGAGATCTATCAGTATGTGGTGAACAGCATGCCTCCCCACCCTTCCAGAGACTTCGTGGTTCTCAGGTAAGGCTGTCTCCAGGGTCTGCGACATTCTGTCCCAAAGGCAGGATGAATGCTACAGATTTAAGCCCTATCTGAAGTTCTCCACTACCTACATCCAGCTGCCACAGGGAACACTAAGCTAGCTCTCCCAACACTGCTCACATCCTGACTTTACTATATCTGTGTCTGACTTTCTGCTTGTTCCACCCAATTTACAGCCCTGCCTGGCTTCTCTTATGGCCCCTCTCCTTGTGGAGCACACAGTTTATTAGGCCATAAATATCATTCATTTCCTTCAGAACACAGACCCGACACTAGCTGCTGTTGATCCTATTGCACTTTCTGCCAAAATATGCAAATTAGAGCTGATTAGTTTTTCTCCTGATTTTTTTTTTCCTTTCTTCCCCTGGAAGGCAAGTCTTCAGTGCATGGAACTCTTAAGACTGAGCATAAATAACTTCAGACCTATCTGTATAATTCTGCATGTCTGTAAGTCATTGTCATACAAAGAGTCTTGACACAGCCCTTTCCACAGTGCTACCAAGAGGCTGGTTGCACAGTCACATTTGAGGACTTGATGTGACCTGCTGCTCAGAGTTGGGTCTGCCTTTGAAATATTGCTTCTGCTTGATGTATGGGTTGAGTTCCAGATCTTTGCTCTCTGGGTTTAGAATGGAACACTCAACCAGCAACAGGAAATTTGCACAAAAGAAAGGCAACATTATATCAGAATAAAAAAAGAGTGAGGATATTAAAGAAACTAAATAAACTGTAATTAGATCAATATATCCTTTTTTATTGAAAAGCTAGGCAAACCTTATCTGTTTTCACAGATCAGCTGTATGAAAGAAATCACTAGTTCAATTCCCAAATGTGTATTTTAGAAGAGTGTCTTTATGAAACCTGTTTTGATGGCAAACTAAAGGTTACTTTTCACATGGACTTTATGCCTTTGATATTATTCCTTGGGACCTTGACTTTGAATGGTCCATTTTCCCAAAATATATATGTTTATCTCAGAAACCTTGAGAGAATATGGGCAGTTATAAGAGTGGCTCCTTACTATGGTTATTGGGACATCAGTCATCTGATGGGGGTTAAACTTCACTCCCTCACCCTCACAGGCAGGAAACTGAGTAGCTGTTCCAGCCTTGGCAGCTAGGTCATTTGTGCTTCCTCTTTCCTTCCTTCTGCCCACACAGCAGCCCCACAGCATGCTCATTAGTGCAGTCATCTTTCTGAATCCACAGGGCTTGGTTTCAGAACTTGCTGCTGGATACCAAATCTTTGCAGCTCAAGTCCCTTGCAACAAATGGAGCAGTATTTGTATAGAATCTATGCACATCCTCCTGTAGACTCTACATCACTTCTAATACATAATGGTATAGAAATTGTTGCTATGCTGTCTTGTTTAGGAAACAGTGAACGAAAAAAATATGTACAGATATTCAGTGCCACTGCAGGGTTTTGTTTTGTTTTGTTTTATGAATATTGTCAATACACAGTTGGTTGCATCTTCAGATGTGGAACCTGCAGGTACAGAGGACCAGATGGATACTAGTCCATCATTCCTGGGCCAGGCATCATTGCAGGCTCTGCAGTAGCCCCAGTGAACATTGAAAACCAATACCCTGCTCTCTTACAGGTTTATGTTTTCCTGGGGAGAGAGAAAGAATCAATAAATACTAAGAAATAAAGATAGGCTCACTTGTCCTTGGGGAAATAAATTAAGGAGATATTAAGGATGGAATTTTAAATATAAAGGTCTGAGCAAAGTCTCACTATTCTGATACTTAATCTAACACCTGAGGGGAAAGGTGAGTGAGCTGTGAGGTTCAGGAGAATCCAGCATTTACAACAACTCAACAGCATCGTTTCTGCCCACAAGAATCCTGTATGTCGGTAACACAGGAAGGAGGAAAGTGGCAGTATGGTGAGGCAGTCGCAGAGTGAAATGTGTCCTGACCCCAGGGCATCTCTTCATTCGAACACACACAGCCTTGGCTGATCCCTTTGGAAGTACCCTGTTCCCCTCTCATTTGACACCCAACTCTAGCCCCTCATGAGTTTCCAGTGAGAGATACAGCTTTCCCCATTTTTTTTTTTTGTTTTTAATTTCTGTTGATCTTTGCAATCATCAGTCTTAATTATTTAGTCACATAATCATGCAAAACGCAGAGTAGTCACAGCTGTGGGGAAGTGCAGAGCATCTAGGTCAGCCTTCATTATCTCAGGTTCTTGTCGAGTGTTGTAGCCATTTTCTCTGTTATAATAAAACACCTGTAACCAGGTGATTTAGGAAGATTAGAGGGCGCTTGACCTCTTGGAACCAGAAATTAGGAAGTTCAAAAACAATGGTACCAGCATCTGCTCAACTTCTGGTGAGTGACTTCTGGCTGGGTCATGACACCACAGAGGGAATCACATGGCAAGACAGCAAACCTTCCAGAGAGATCTCACTGTTACAGTAAAGCCCTTCTACGGAGAGCCCACACACCATCAAGTCTCACCTTCTTCTACACAGTTAAACCATAAGCTAAGAGCATATTTAACAGTTTCTCATCCTGGTATGGTTATGACAGTATAAAGTTCTAAATGAAGTGAATAAATCAAGAAATAGAATCTAGAAGGTGAACAAGGGAGGATTATAATGACACAGTTGATTATGATGCATGCCTGTGCTGGCAAGGGACATTAGGGGTGGTTCTGCAAAAGCTCTCCTGACTCTGAAGTCCATCTGCAAGCTTTTCCCAGTTGGTCAACTCCTCTGTGCTTCAGCAGCTACCGTGTCAAGGAACTCACTCTTTCTCAAGAGTGTGCATTTTGTCTGTGGATCACTTGCACTGTTACACAGCTCTTTTTGCCACTGAATTGAAGTTTGCCTTCCCTCCTCTGAATTTTGGAGTCAAACAAGCCATATCTTAAGAGCCACTCATGCATTTGAAGAATCAGCAGATTCACATGTGTTTCATTCTCTCCAAACGAGACATCAACAGTAAGACTTGAACTGAGCATCACCTCCTCCAAGCAGACTGCCCATATCTCTCAATGTGGTTCTAGACTCCTCCATGCATGGCTACGTGACTGCAATACTGTGGCATTCTGAGGTCTCTTGAGGGTTGCCGGTTTCTCCCGGGCTGTGGATTTCTTTGTGCCCCAGGGTGCCTTCACAGGGCCTGTCACAGTGATGTATTCAGCAGCAGCTGAATGAATTGAATTGAATATGAGACTTTTAGTTCCTAAATTAGAAAAATCTTCTCCGTAATGGGTGGGAGCATTCACCGAAGAGCAAGCTTGGGCCTTCATTTGGGGTTCCATACATAAAACTGAAAGCTGCAAGATCATGGCTGGCCTCTGAGGGTGAGAGTGGAGATGCCTGCTCTGAGCTGCACTGTGGAAACTTGACACTAACTTATGGAAACCATTGGCTTCATCCAAGTAACTGGCATTGAAGTTGCAGCCTGGGTTTTGGCAGGAAAGTTGACATGTAAACCTTAGTTCTGGTGTCAGGTGCCACTTTATCCCTTAGCTGTATGTTTAATGTATGGGTTGTTTTGCTTCAGGACCTGGAAGACTGATTTGCCCAAAGGGATGTGCACCCTGGTGTCCCTGTCTGTGGAGCATGAAGAAGCCCAGCTCATGGGCGGAGTGCGGGCTGTGGTGATGGAGTCTCAGTACTTGATAGAACCCTGTGGCTCTGGCAAGTCGCGGCTGACCCACATCTGCAGGATAGACCTGAAGTAAGTGTGAGCTCTCAAGGATGCCAGTTTGGGGCTGGAAGGTCTTGGCTCTCATTCAGCACTTCCAGCGCCCCGTTTGTCACCTGACATCCTGTTTCACTATACTTTGATCCTCGCTGCCATAAACACACTTTCAAGGATGATTCTATGTGCCTCTCTTCTTCTTTCCTTACATTCTATTCCTTCTCTTGCAGCCCTCTTCTTGCCTTTACTCTCCATTTTCCTTGTGTATATTTCATTGACAACTAAACTTTGGGCGTAAGTATACTGGACTGCTAGTATGATGTTTTAAAACATAAGCATTGTAGACTGGCCAAAGCAAGCTAATGGGCATATCCATGACCTCACATATTTTGTGGTGGGTACATTTAAAATCTACATTCTGTTAGCATTCAAGAATACAATGCATTTTTTTAATTAGCAAGTCAGATATACAGAGAGGAGGAAAGATGATCTTCCATCTGCTGACTCACTACACAAGTGGCTGCAATGGCCGGAGCTGAGCCAATCCAAAGCCAGGAGTCAGGAGCTTCTTCCGGGTCTTCCACAAGGGTGCAGGGTCCCATGGCTTTAGGCCATTCTTGACTGATTTCCAAAGCAGAGGGCTGGGTGGGAAGTGGGGCTGCCAGGAGACAAACCACCACCCATATGGGATCCTGCTGCATGTAAGGCAAGGACTTTAGCCACTAGGCTACCATGTGGGGGCTGAACATAATGCATTTTTGTTAACTCTAATCACTGTAGTTTGCAGTAGGTCTGTCTATTTAATTATTCTCTCTATTGGAAATTTTATGATCCTTGACCATTATGTCCCCAGCCTCTAGTATCATCATCCCCTAGTATTCATTCTCCTCTCCGCTTCCAATAATTGCACAATTGCAGATTCTGCCTGTGTGTGATATCCTGTGGCATCTGTCCTTTAGTGCCTGACTTATTTCACGTAGTATAACATCCTAGGCTCACTCATGTTGTCATAAATGAGAGAATTCCTTGCATAAGGTCAGAATAATATTCCATTGTAGATAAACAGCATATTGTCTTTATCCGTTCATCTTCTGATGCACACATAGGTTGCTTCCACATCCTGGCTATTCTGAATAGTGCACAAGGAGCACAGGAGTGCAGATGTCTTTCCCATGCACTGATTTTATTGGCTATATGCCAGGAGTGGAATTATAGAGTAGTTTATTGTCCCTTCTATTTCTGTGCTTCTCACCTGGAGCACACACAGGCACATATATAGTAGATCTTCACAAATCCGTGTTCTGTTCTCTTGTGTCTTTGTAACCTGACTCCTCTTGCTGTCCCTTCTTCACCGCAGTTACCTTCCTTTGAGAAGAAAGTGACTTACATCCAACTCCCTTCAAGGTTTTCATGATACCGAGCTAAGTTCTTCACTTTGGTAGACAGAAAGTGAGTTTTCTCAGTGAAGTCTAGCTTTAGTCTAATTCTTGCCATTTTACTTGTAAGAGTTGGTGTTATGTTAAGGCACCTGATGAATACTGAAGAGACAGAGTGACTATTGGTGGTCCAGACATTTTCCAAGCACCCAATGACAGAATGAGGTTCTCAGATCCACAAGGTGGCCGTCCCAGGTTGTAGCGGGTGCACTGTTGGCCAGGGCTTCAGGATGGCTCTGTCTTCCATGGAAAAATGCTGAGTGAGACAAACAGACCTTCCCACTTGCTTTCTGATTTCTTTCCCACAGAGGTCACTCCCCGGAATGGTACAGCAAAGGCTTCGGACACTTGTGTGCAGCGGAAGTAGCCAGAATCAGGAACTCTTTTCAGCCCCTCATTGCTGAGGGTCCAGAAACGAAAATCTGAGTTTTCCCAGCGTGACATCAAACTCAGGGAAGAGGAAGAGAAAGCAAATGGTAATGACAGAGAGTGTGCGCATGAGAAAGCCAGAGAGAGCAAGTGGCTGACCGACATAGTATTGCTTAAGAATGGATGCAGTGAAAAGCAGTCGGCATGATGAGGACACAAGAATTTCAAAAGGAACTTTTCTGGCCTTCCTGGAGATGGCTACATCCATACTAATAGAATATTTTTAAATATTAGAGCATTTATCTATATTACTTAAAATTCAGTGGACTATTCCTTGTGCATTGCCTAATTTTGTATTTAAAGGCTTCTAAGAAGCATATACTGCATTGTAAATAAATGTATGTGTAACATTTGTATATATACATGTGTATATCTCCATCTTTGCTGTAAATATGTAAGATACTCATTTTATATATGTCTGTTTTGAAACAGAATGTCTGACTCGGTGAGTCCTTTCCTCACATAGCTCTTCCCAAGTTCCTCTGGGTCCCATCTCCCTGTTGTCCTAGAAGCTGAGCAGAACCTGCTGCTAACACCAAAGTGTGAGAATGTGTCGTCCAACAGGCTGCCATGATGTCTAACCAAAGATCAGCTAACCAAAGGAAAATACCATTTAAAAGGTTCTGACGCCTTGTCGATTTGCTCCTGCCAACCAAGTACTGAGGGTGGAGTGCTGGGATGGAGTGAGGGGAAGAACTTACTTCTTTAATACAAAGCAATGGTGAAAAGTCATTACCAAATTGAAGTGGCGTTGGCCAACTGGCACTGGGCCCCCCAGATGTGATTTCAGTGAGATGTCAGACACTGAGGGACCACTGTGTCATGCCAGTGACTGAGACACTACCGTGCCCCAACTAGAAGTGAGCAGACCACCCTTCACATCTTCATGGCAATGATGATCTCTGCATGGTCTCAGGTTTCCATAGAGACAAGGGTACTTCAAAAAGTTCAAGAGAAACGAGAGTTGAAAGATGATGCACATTTCCGCAAGGGTTTTGAAGTAGCCTCCTATATTTCATAATGATGTTAAATGTTATTCTCTTTGACCAGTGGCCTTCATGGGCACAGTTCATTGGCATTTTCTTACCAGTTTTGTATTGCACTGAATTTAACTCTGGACACCAAAGGGAGGTGATGATTGTTCAAGAGTCCTAGATCATCATAGCTTCAGGGAACTCGTATTTTTTCTGTATGATGCTCTTAAAATATAACTCAGTACTGTTCTGCAATCCAAAAGATAAGATATTTAATTAGTATAAGACCAAAGCTATGTTCTTTAGTTTTAGAAAATATAAACATGTTTATTAGTTTCATATTTCTTTATTAGCCTGCTCAAACTACCTATGCATCTGACCCAATCTTATTTATTAATATAAAGGATGGGCAAATTGACTCTCCTGAACCAGTTGTGAATGGATTTGTTTTTATTGTAGTTCAACAACTGTAAAAGAAAGATAACTTATTGTGTTTGGTTTCAGGGAGAGAGATATTCTTTGGTTGTCTGTGACAGAAATGAATATCTCTGATGTTAGAAAACAAAAAGAAACAGTTTAAATGAATGGCTCCAGTTTTTTCTGTATTATTTCATTTATGTAATGTTTTCTCTTATCAGCAATTATTTTATTGAAATAATGTGCAATTATTTTATTGAAAGGAATAAAAATGCTACATATGAGTTTGGTATGGTGCAAGGTAAATCATACTGTTTGAATTATGACCTAGGAATTTTCCATCCCCATGTGTGTATCTAAAAAAGGTGGCAACAACCCCGTAATTTACCTTTTGGACATTGCTTTGTGAACAAAACAAATCCATCCAAAACCTCTTGAACGTAACTCTATATGCTGGGTTACTGTTTATACATCAACAACATCATTAATGTAGGTTAGCTAAACACTGGCACTGTCCCGAGAACAGGACCCTGCGTGTTTGGGAAACACAGAATAAGCATTTTTCCCAAACACAAGTATCCTCTACTCCTAATGCGCACACACTTCCCCCTGGGTGCTTGTGACATGCAGACTCCTCTGCAGGCGGTCTGGAGTGGGCGTGAAATGCTGCATCGCTCATGGGCCTCAGGGACACCCACGCTCTGGCCCAAAGACCTCGCTCTGAGAAGCCAGCATCTAGAGGACACTTAAACACAGTAAAACCAAGTGTGTTTGTATTTCCGACTCTCCTCTCTTCAAATAACCTGGCTTGTTTTTTGTTGTGCACATACTCATCACATCACTACAGCGTACGAAATCAGTGCATCCTTCTAGAAAAGGAAAGGGGAAAGTGGGGAGTGGAGAGGATGCATCTCACGTATTTGTCGAACACCACAGTGTTTTATTTGTGGTTATCTTGCCATTGGAAATAAAATATAATATTACATTTAAATATTATATTTATACCTCATGTATATTTTTACCTCAATTGCTGGTATCAATCATTAATTGTAAATTGCTAAGGCAAATAAATTTATATATATTAAATATTTCCTATTTTCTATAAACACATGTTGATTTTCATGCCTCATCATATAAAGTGGAAAACTTGCTCCATGAAGGAGAGTTCTTTCTATGGTTGTTTGCTGTGAGCTTGACTTCTTAGTGCTGTCGATAATCAATATTTTCTCCCATGTGCAACGATGCTGGTATTAGCAAACACTAATAATCTTAAGTTCCTTCACCTGGGCCTCGGGCATTAAACTGATGGGGAAGGATTTTGTGTGTCTGTTCAAATTCATTAATTATCAATCTGGATTTTTTGAAAATGCATTCATGATTTTTTTTTCTTTATCTAAGATGCAGTGAACCCTTTGCTGAATTATGTTGTTGGTACATGGACAAGGAATCAGGACTTGACAGAATGAGTTATAACACTACTCGATTGTAAAGAGGAGCCACGAATGACCGATCCTTGGCCCTTGTAGTCATTCGTGTGCCTTGTCTTCCAAGGCTTTACTTCTATGAAATAATGAAGCTAGCCCTTAGCCAAGTAGGCAGGAGCTCCCACACTCAGCTCTAGGCTTCCAAAGCCACAGCAGCCAAACCACCATATGCCACATCAAAGATGTGCCAGCTCCCCTCTGCTCACCTCACACACGACTTCCTCCGTGATGTGAAAGTTTTACTTCTGTAGGCAAAGCAGGAATCTCCATGCTAGGTTTTCCTCTTTTATGTAAAGAGGTGATTTTTTTTGCAGCTATAGGTTATAGTTCAAATGTTGCTCTGGAAGTGTGGATCATATGAACTCAACTTGAAATTCTTAGATTTGAAAGCATCATATTGCCGCTTTCTGATATTTGATACAAAAAAAAAAAACACCCAGTCATGTGACCTCTCATAAGATAATATACAAAGGACAGGAATAAAATATACCCCAGCCAAATAGTGGATAGCACTCTGACATAAAAGTGAAGTCAGTGTGTGCTGACTGTCTGGAAGTGAAGACAGCTCCTGTGCCTCAGCATTCACAGTGTTGCACAGCTGTGAAGACCCAGTGCCTGACAGTGTGCTCTGTGTGGCATTCCTCAGGCAACTCCATCCTGTGTAGATGTTCTTAAAGAAAATCTTCACTTCCACTGTAACAAGATGCATCAGGCAACCTGCATGACTCCTTGTGTACGACTGGAGCCCCCAGTTGCTAGCAATTCTATGTCTTTGAGGTCAGATCCCCTTTGTTAAACATTTATGCATTCAGCACACATCTGCTAGGAATATGACACTGGCAGGCAGAGATGCTAATAGGAAGAAGATGCCTTGCACAGAAATGGCAACTAGCAGTCCATTAGCATCCTTTGTAGTTCTATTCTGCAATGTCTCAGCAAACCTAAATCCACCAGTGTTGACCTATTGCTCCAAGGGAAATTCAGCCTCTGGTCATGTTTGTGAACCCATCAACATCTAACACTGGGATATTCTTTCTATACTTGACATACATCTCCTACAAATTAATTTCTGTAATATTGTTTGGCAATATAACCCTAATGGAGAAGGATTTAATGTTGTCCTAGCCCTGGGGACATGACTACAATTTTCTTGGGGCTTAGACCTCCCAACATTAGCCATATCCGTAAGTTTTTCTTAAATCACTCTATCATCTTCCACGTCCACAAATTCAGTTGCTTTTCAGTCCAACTTTTCCACAGCTGCACCACACACTACAGATGGCCCATTAGTACTTTTCTGGAACAGCCTCACAGCCACATCAGCAAGCTCCCTCACCATTCTGCCAACAGCACTGTAACTGAGGCGTGTGCAAAGCTCATGCAACACATTCTCTTTCTTCCTGTACCGTATCCTAGCATCCTTGTGTCCAACAACACTAGACAGCACATCGGCACTACACCTGAGGGACATTTTTAGCAGTAAAATCACCACCAACAAAGCACAAACATGGGGGAAACATGGCACTCAACAGACCATAAAGGGACACATGCCTATACTAAGAAAACATCTGCTCCAGCGGGGGATGTGCACATCAGTGACACCAACTGTTCCATCTGCACGCGATCATAGAGGCACTTCCAATATTGAATGATTTGGTGGCTACACATCAGTGTTAGCAAGCAGGTGAATTTGTAAATACAAAAAATACAGAATCCACAAGTATGGAGGATGGGCTATAGATATAATTCTGTGGATTTTTAGGGTTGCCTGCACTAAGACAAGGAGCTGGAAGTTCAGTTGAGATCTCTTATTTGGGTGGCAGGAGCCCAATTGCTTGAGCCATAATTTGGTGCTGCTTAGGCTCTGCAATGGCAGGAAACTGGTATCAGCAGACAGAATGAGGACTTAAACCCAGGTACTCCAACAGAGAGCATAAGTATCTGAACTGCCAGGCCAAATGCTTGCTGTAGTTTTTCATAATACAGGCTTTCCATGAAACTTTTTTTTGTTAGAAATGGATCATTTTAATGCTTTTTAAAGCTTAGTTAATAAACAGTTTTCTTGCCAACTACAGATATGTAAGGCTATTGTTAGTTTCCAGAAATGTCACAGTAATGACAATTTTCTCAATTAATGTGTAGTCTTCTATAATGATTACATGTTATGTATATGAAACTGCTGTCAAACAGGATTGTTGGTAACTTGGACATATTTCTCCCATATAACTTGCTTCCTTGTATTACAAAGCCCAGCTCACTCACATTCACTCTAATAGCAGTACCTTTGGTAGTTACACCCAGAGTTATATATAATGGGGACGATGGACTCTGTTTTACACCTAAATTAGGCAGGCAGAAGGTGTCTTCCAGTTCTGGATGTGTTCCATGGGCGTTTTTGAAACGTAATCGCCTTGGTCTAATGCATCTTTCCTATTTGGGTGGTTTTCTTGTAAAGCCATCTCCAACAAAGCAGACTTTGGTGACCATCCTCTTCCATGCCTTCTTTTTTCTTTTTCCTGTTCAAACAACTTGTCACACTTCTGTTTTTCCCTTTAGGCAGAAGGACTTCCCATGTTCCATCTTTCTCTTTTCTTTCTTGTTTAATCATATTGAAAAGTACTTTAGCTTGGGACTGTCCCTCTCTGTCCAGCTGACAGGTTGGTACTGCTCCCTGGGAGTCTTTTCATTTTTCTTTTGTTTGCTGTTTCTCTTTTCCTGCATGTTGATTGTCTTTTTCCTCTGTATTTTCCCAGCATGGCACTGCTTGTGGTAAAGTTTAACCTTCAGACCAATCTTTTTTTTTTTTTTTTTTTTTTTGCCTTCTTTGAGCATTCATGAGCTTTTCCTTTCCTTTCCTTTTTTTCTCTTGGGCCCTTGGGCCCATGTCCTTGGACTTGCACTTACATGTTTGATCTGAACAAAGCTCTTGGCCCTGTCTGTAGTAATAGCAGCTATTTGAAGAGGGAAGCAGCAAAATCTCTCTCTCTCTCTCTCCCTGTCTCTCTCTCTCTCTCTCTCTCTCTCTCTCTTGCTCCAATCCTCTATATATCCTCTGTATATCCTCTCTGTATCCTGTCCTCACAGTTTACC